TTACTATTTTTGACGAAATTAATCTTAGGCATTTGAAACATTTTGATACCTACTGTATACATTATTATTGACTATACGATCAATTTAATTTTAAAAATATTTAGATTTATTTTSAGCTTTTTTGTACTTCGAACCTATTCACACCTTTTAACAGTGAATACCTTCGTAGTGAGTATCAACTMATATAGTTATACGTTAAAAAATAGTTCCATCTATCATGATATTATCACTACTATAAAAATTAATTACTAATAGCAAATATAATATAATATAATATTAAATGTCCTTTAAAATGTAGGCTGACATCTCTGCTCAAAATCGTTTTTCATCGCATTCAAATATAATGATTTATGTTTGAACTCAAATTTAAATCTTCCATAACTTAGACCTACTCAATAATCTACTCAAAGTACACTAGGAAATTACTATACAGCAGAGTTACATTCCTGAATTTCAAATCTGGAGTCTTCGAAATATTGCACTTTAAGTGAATGCTGTGAGTTACAACTACAGTGAAACCTCATCATCTAGTTGTGATAAGCCTCTACATAATAATATATAATATACATGAGCATAATTACACAGAATAATGTATATTATATATTGTTTATCTTAACTTATATATACATTTTTCAATTATTTATRTCAGTGGTACTATAACGTTTTTGTATGCGGCACTTAAATCAAAACGTACTGGTTATGAAATTCACGAATTAAAAATAATCAATTGTTTCATCAAATTAAATATATTATATACTTTATATTTTGTTGAGTTCCTTCAGTTTTACAGCCCTGATACTATGATAAAAATTATCAACAGTTGATTGTTCAGTTCAGTATACTAGATTATTTAAAACTATTGGTGTGCATTATGAAAATTATAATCCTTGGTATCTAAAAATCATAAATTAGCTTTGCCATAGCCAACATATAATATATTGTACCTAATATGTAATTATAATATGGATTAATTAAAATTAAAATCATGAAAACTTGGACAGAACGTTAAATACTGATGATTTACGAATAAGTAATCGATTGCGCGATTCAAATGTTAGATCGTCTATAATATATAAAAATTCTCATAAAAATAACAAAATCTTAAATTGTTATACGTTTCTTTCTAACAATCAATACTCAATATGGATTTATTCCCATGCGATATTCCTGCAATATTTMATCTCTGTTCAAAAATGTAATTTTATAATCCCCTGAATAAAACTACGCTCGAGGAGATAAATTAAAGATATTTAATTAAATAAATAAATAAAGATAATTTTATATTTCCTTCGCCAGATGAGCTTTTAATAATATTGATCTCRAAATTTTGTTAAAAAAACTAGAATTGCTATTTTGCTCTACTGGTTCTTTGCTTGGTATAGTAGTTTTGTGATTTTCCTATTAATTATCATATCATAATATTAAATACCGAAATTTCAAATCTGCCCTATTCAATGTCTCCGTAGGTTTCACCCAAAGTAATCATTTATTTACACTCCTTTATTCAATATTTATATAAAAGAGATTTCTTTACACCATCCAATACTCCTGATTTTTCACTAACGCTCGCAAACATAGTGAGAACAAATAAAGACRCAATTAATCTTCAAAAGGATATGAATAGCCTTGGGAAATGATGCACTAATATTACTGCATAAATCTAAATATTGATAAATGTAAATTCCGGCGCAACCC